TTATCTCATTTAATTCTCAGACTACCCTAAAAAGCAGGTACCATTCTCACCATTTTATGGAAGTGCCAACTGAGGCACAGAGTTAATGTAACTTGCTTAAGGTCTCATGCGCAGTGGCAGACATGAGATTCAAACTCTGTCAGTCTGATACTAGACCCGTCTCTCAAACACCATGTCTTGGCAGCATTCTTACTATTTCTCAGCTTAGTTAATATTAAGGAAGTCAATGGGAGAAACTTGTTTGCCATAAGGTGACAAGTGGTTAAAAACAAATAATAAATATGAATAAAATAGATAGTAAAATATAATAAAATAAATAATAAAAACTATACTTTTGGCCAGCCACAGTGGCTCACACCTATAATCCCAGCACTTTGGGAGGCTCAGGTGGGCCAATCACCTGAGGTTGGGAATTCGAGACCAGCTTGACCAACGTGGAGAAACCCTGTCTCTACTAAAAATACAAAAATTATTCTGGCATGGTAGCACATGCCTATAATACCAGCTACTTGGGAGGCTGAGGCAAGAGAACCACTTGAACCCAGGAGACAGAGATTGTGGTAAGCTGAAATCATGCTATTGCACTCTAGCCTGGGCAACAAGAGCGAAACTCAATCTCAAAACAACTGTACTTCCAGCGAAATTTGTTGTTAAATAGTGAGCTCACAGTTGTGATCTGGGCAATGTCCGATTTACAAAGGGCAGATTGTTTTGATGTGAATAAATTAGCAACTAACTGTTGTAAAGTGAATCCTGGCAAATTTGGGGTTACCAGGCCCAGAGTGGTAACTGTGAGCACCCCCCTCCATCCCATTGTTCTACAGGCAGCAGCTCACATGTATAGAAAGGATCCAGCACTGAAGAAGGAGAGAGGTCATTAATAATTATGTGATGTTTCCATGCCAGTATAGTCAATTTCCATTATAATGTCGATCTTTACAAAAGCAACTTTTCATTTGAAAATGAATAAATCAGTATACTTGAAAGAGTATGACATCTGGAAGCTGAAGTACTGGATTAGTTTCTAAACTACCGCACAGAATACTCATTGTTCTTCATCTTCCAACAGTGCATAAGCAGTGCCAGGCACATAATAGGCCCTCAATAAATGGTGGTTATTACTAATATTATTTACTTAGGTGGCCTATTAAGCAAAAATGAACAGATTTCAATTGTGTCTCATTTTTCAACATGTGCCTCTAGGGAACTTCTATCAGTATTATCTTAACTGTTAGATATTGACTGAAACAAGGAGAAGGATTAGAAAATTTTTATCAAAAAAGAAAATATTTTTGAAGCGTGACTCATATGTTTAAGACTATAAACTTGAATCCAATGAAAAATGTTTTTCTTTTGAGTGAAAAAAAGACTTTGCGAAGTATATTCATTCTGTTCTTTGTCCTAACCCAAAATCCACACTTAATAAAGAGAAATGTTAGCGGTTAGGAGAAATTGAGAAAAGTGTGAAGTCACAGAACTAGTAATACCTGTATATAATAGTGGGATTTTTTGTTTGTTTGTTTACTTTGTTGTGTTTTTTTTTTTGCTAGGGGACCAAGCCATTTAGAAAATACACTCTTCTTATGGTCCCTGGGGTCAGAGTTGATTTGAGAAACTCCTTTTTTAAATTTTTATTTATTTATTTATTTATTTATTTATTTATTATTTTTTTTGAGACAAGAGTCTTGCTCAGTCACAAGGCTGGAGTGCAGTGGCACAATCTCAGCTCACTGCAACCTTCGCCTCCTGGGTTCAAACAATTCTTCCGCCTTAGCCTCCCGAGTAGCTGGGACAACAGGCGAGTGCCATCACACTCGGCTAATTTTTGTATTTTTAGTAGGAATGGGGTTTCACCATGTTAGCCAGGATGGTCTCCATCTCTCAACCTTGTGATCTGCCCACCTCAGCCTCCCAAAGTGCTGGGATTACAGGCATGAGCCACCACACCCGGCAAACTCCTTTTTTAAAAAAATTTAAAAACAAAATAGTAAAGATTTCACAGGCAAGGCCCTATAAACTGGTGGCAGAGTGAAGAATAGAGAATACAATGAAGTCCAGCTTCTAGAAACCAAGGGTTACTGCTGCTCTCATCTGTCTAACTTTGTGGGATACCACTGCTCTACTATCTAATAAGCAATGAACAGGTCAGTTTGAATTAGATTATTTGAACCTGAATCTTGAGAGAATCTCAAAGGAAAAAATACTTATACATTGGATAAGAGTATCCATTCTACTTCCATTACAGCATTCTATAAAATAATAAATTGACTCCCAATGGCCCCTAGAAATGGGGGAAAGAAAGGCAGAGGCATTCACACGGGAAGGGAAATTATTTGCCATCATCTGAAGTTTCAGCATAAAAGAAATATTTGACCCAAAATAACCTCAGCTGTCATATCAGACATGGAAGGTCATGTCATTTTAACTATGATGTTGAAACACTATGTTCAAGATAAGACCAAGGTCTTGAGATAAACACATTCAATAAGTTGTAGCATAGTTTGTTTTGTTTTGTTTTGTTTTGTTTTGTTTTGTTTTGTTTTGTTTCTGAAGCCAGCTTCAGAAGCTGTTTTTGAAGCCAGCTTCATAGTTTTTAAGGTATCCTAACTTGTTTAAAATTTGTGTATATTTTTTGGTACATGTTTTTATCAGATTTAAAAAAAAACTAGGATAAAACAAACAAAGAAAACTAGTAAATATTTTATCCTGAAAATTGCTGCCGTTAAATAGCTTTTCTCTCCAATAAATACCCCTTCGATCCTAAAGAAGAAACACTACCATGATTCTAGCTGAGTGAAAACTAATTAGCAAAAGATAAATCAAAGCACCATGTGACTCATACTTTAAATCCACAGTAAAGCCTGGGTGTGTTAGGAAACTTGTGATGACACAAATTCGTGTCCTTCCGATTATTTAGCTCTAGAAACAGACCTAACATCAAGGGGAAGAAACAAACGGGAACCCCATGGTTCCTCTTTCTCCTGGTGGAAGAGATTTGCCTTGTTTATCATAGAAGTTACATATTTTTATTAAAATGTTTCATTGATAATGTAATTTTCCTTTCTTTCATATTTGTTACAATGATTGGTTTGACAAAAATAAAATCAGTGTACATTACTTGGAAGTATATCAGAGGGAAGAAGACTAGCAGTAATGAGACTACTTTCCTTAGTGTTCTGAAGTTACATAGGCAATATCCTTTTAAACGAATGAATGTGAAAAATGGAAACAGCAAAGGGAAAAGAAATCAACCAAATTTCTTCCACCCAAACTTAACAACTATGGCCACTATTGACATTTGGATATATTTCTCTCTGGTCTTTTATTTTGTTTATTGCTTTAATTATGAAGTCCAACATACACACAGAAAGACATATGAAGGCCAGGCACAGTGGCTCACATCTGTAATCGCACCACTTTGGGAGGCTGAGGCAGGAGGATTGCTTGAGTCCAGGAGTTCAAGGCTGCAATGAAATAGGATTGCACCACCATACTCCAAGCTAGGCTACAGAGTGAGACTGTCACAAAAGAAAGAAAGAAAGAGAAGCCGGGCGCGGTGGCTCAAGCCTGTAATCCCAGCACTTTTGGAGGCCGAGGCGGGTGGATCACGAGGTCGAGAGATCGAGACCATCCTGGTCAACATGGTGAAACCCCGTCTCTACTAAAGATACAAAAAATTAGCTGGGCATGGTGGCGCGTGCCTGTAATCCCAGCTACTCAGGAGGCTGAGGCAGGAGAATTGCCTGAGCCCAGGAGGCGGAGGTTGTGGTGAGCCGAGATCGCGCCATTGCACTCCAGCCTGGGTAACAAGAGCGAAACTCCGTCTCAAAAAAAAAAAAAAGAAAGAAAGAGAGAGAGAGAGAGACAGAGAGGGAAGAATGGAAGGACGGAAGGAGGGAAGGAAGGAAGGTTGGTTCTATGTAAAGTTTAGTAAATAGTTAAAAAGTGATTGCTAGCGTAACTACCACTAGGGACAGGAAATGAAACATTGTTGGAATCTCTTGCCTATTTCCTTCTATACTTTCTACAGTCAGGCCTATTCTTATTTTGTGGCAGCAAACCCTTTCTTTTCTTGATAAATGTACTACCCGCATTACTGCCAACTATACATGTATCCCTAAACCATGCACTTTAACTGTATTTTCTAGTTTATATAAATGTACTTACACTGTTGTCTTTTGTGGGCAATGTGGTGAAACCCTGTATCCACAAAAAAATTAACAAAACATGGTGGCACACACCTATAGTCCCAGCTACTCAGGAGGCTGAGGTGAGAGCGTTTCTTGAGCCCGGGGTTGGGGGTGGGGGTCGAGCCTGCAGTGAGCCATGTTTGTGCCACTACTCCAGCCTGGGTGACAGAATGAGACAATCTCAAAAAGATAAAAAATAATGAAGTAAATAAAAAATTTAAACAGGTACAGTAAAAATGCAATATAAAAGATAAACAGTGGTCCACCTATATAGGACACTCACCATGAATGGAGCTTGCAGGACTGGAAGCTGCTCTGAATGAGTTACTGAGTGAGTGGTGAGTGAATGTGAAGGCCTAGAACATTACTGTACACTGCTGTAGATCTTATAAATGCGGTACACTTAGGCAACACTAAATTTATCATGTTTTTCTTTCTTCAGTAATAAATTAACTTTTAAAATAAAGAAATAGGCTGGGAATGGTGGCTCACCTCTGTAATCTCAGCACTTTGGGAGGCTGAAGCAGACGGATCACATGAGGTGAGGAGTTCAAGACCAGCCTGACCAACATGGTGAAACCCCATCTCTACTAATAATGCAAAAATCAGCTGCATGTGGTGGCACGTGCCTGCAATCTCAGCTACTCGGAAGGCTGAGGCAAGAGAATTGTTTGAACCTGGGAGGCAGAGGTTACAGTGAGCCGAGATGGCGCCATTGCACTCCAGCCTAGGCAACAAGAGCAAGACTCTATCTAAAAAAACAAAGAAAAAAAAATATTAACTTTCTTTTTTTTTTTTTTTTTTTTTGAGACAGAGTTTCGCTCTTGTTACCCAGGCTGGAGTGCAATGGCGCAATCTCGGCTCACCGCAACCTCCGCCTCCTGGGTTCAGGCAATTCTCCTGTCTCAGCCTCCTGAGTAGCTGGGATTAGAGGCACGCGCCACCATGCCCAGCTAATTTTTTTGTATTTTTTAGTAGAGACAGGGTTTCATCTTGTTGACCAGGATGATCTCGATCTCTTGACCTTGTGATCCACCCTCCTTGGCCTCCCAAAGTGCTGGGATTACAGGCTTGAGCCACCGCGCCCGGCCTATATTAACTTTCATATACTATAATTTTTTGCTTTCTAAACTTTTTTTTCTTCTTACGGCAGAACTGCCAGAACAGACTTTATAAACATTTTTATTTTCTTAATGTTTTGACTGTTTTGTAATAATACTTAGTCTAAAGCACAAACATGTTGTATGGCTGTACACAAATATTTTCTTTCTTTATATCCTAATTCCATAAGCTTTTTTCTATTAAAATTTTTAATTTTATTTATAAGACATAAACACACATACTAGCCTAGGTCTGCACAGGATCAGGATCATTAATATGGTCTGTCTTCCACGTCCATATCTTGTCCCACTGGAAGGTCTTCAGGGACAATAGCCTGCATGGAGCTGTCATCTCCTATGATAATGATGCCTGCTTCTGGAATACCTCCTCAAGGACCTATCTCAGGCTGTTTCACAGTTAGCTTTTAAAAAAATAAAGTACAAGGGATGCACTCTAAAATAATGATAAAAACTGTAGTATAGTCAGTACATAAACTGGTAACGATCATTTATTATCATTATCAAGTATGCCGTACCACATATCCTTGTATGTGCTATGCTTTCACAGGACTGGGAGTGTCATAGATTTGCTTACATTACCACAAATACATGAGTAATGAATTGTGCTATGACATTATTGTTGGGTACCAGCCCCAACCCTGTCCTTGGGTGCCCTAGTCCCAGTGGTGATGAGGGATTGAGAAAAGGAAATAAAAAGAGAGACACAAGAGTAGAATTTACAGCATGGGTCCAGGAGACTAATGCCAGCCTGGGAACCACGTTGGCCCTCTGGTCTCCAAACACTTTTTTTTTTTTTTTTGAGACGGAGTTTCACTCTTGTTACCCAGTCTGGAGTGCAATGGCGCGATCTTGGCTCACCGCAACCTCCGCTTCCTGGGTTTAGGCAATTCTCCTGCCTCAGCCTCCTGAGTAGCTGGGATTACAGGCACGCACTACCATGCCCAGCAAATTTTTTGTATTTTTAGTAGAGACGGGGTTTCACCATGTTGACCAGGATGGTCTCGATCTCTCGACCTCGTGATCCACCCGCCTCAGCCTCCCAAAGTGCTGGGATTACAGGCTTGAGCCACCGCGCCCGGCTCCAAACACTTTTTATTTATTTATTTATCTTCTTTTTTAAAGATGGGCTTTCACCATGTTGGCCAGACTGGTCTCGAACTCCTGACCTCAAGTAATCTGCTCACCTTGGCCTCCCAAAGGGCTAGGATTACAGGCATGAGCCACCAATCCCAGCCTGGTACTGAGTTTATCACCGATTGTTATCAGGATACCAATGCATCAGAAGTATAGCGGATGAGGAGCCACCTGGTCTGACCACACCCAATGCATCAAGGGGCTTTTATCTTCTGAGCATTGAGGGCATAGAACAGTTAAAATTACTCCATATTCCAAGAACCTAGGCAGAGCCTGAGGCAGTCTGTGATCTCTGCCTTGTAAGGCTTTTCTCCTCCTTGCCAGCTCCCATCTGCAAAGACCCTCCCTGATCTTGTGAGCAAAGGTCGCCTCCCTTCTGAGCGATCTTTGCACAAGCCCTCTTTATGAGATCTTCATGTAGTTTCCATGTTGAGAAGGCATTTGTGGGACCAGAGCAGTATTGCCTGTGATGCAACCACACCGGTGTTCCCTGGTGTTACTGCGCTCTCGAATGGTCTTTACCTTAGGCCTCCTGTTGCCACTTGATTTCTAATTAACTGCACCAATAATATAATTTAGTTCAGCATATAAACTTCAGTGTACTCTGAGCAAAGTAAGCTTATAATTATTTAGCTAGAATTAATATAGGTCTCCCCCTGGCCATCTTGACCCACAATGATAGCAACTATGACTTCACTAGGACATGGGAACTTTGCAACTCTGTTATAATTTTATGGGCAAAACAAAAACAAAAACAAAAAAACGGCCGGGCGTGGTGGCTCACCCCTGTAATCCAAGCACTTTGGAGGCCAAGGCGGGCAGATCATCTGAGGTCAGGAGTTCAAGACTAGCCTGACCAACGTGGTGAAACCCCATCTTATTTAAAAAAAAAAAAAAAAAAAAGTCTTACGGGCTACTGTCAGTCCTTTATTTACTGAAGTCATTAGGCAGTGTGTGACTGTACATGGTTAAAGGAGACAGCAATCAGATTTTATAGCCTGATCTTTTGTAACAACTTCACTCTTCCATTTTCTAATTTGTTTGTAAACATTATACAAAATATTAAAACATAATACAGTTGGCCCTTCAGATCCATGGGTTCCATATCCATGCATTCAACCAACCACAGATCTCTGCCTTATTTTGAAAAATCCATACGTCTCTGTTGAATATGTACACTTTTCTTGTCATTGTTTTGTATACATTCCACCATAACAGCTATTTACATAGCATTTACATTGTATTAGGTATTGTAAGTAACATATGGAGATGATTCACAGTAAATGGGAGGCTATGTGTAGTATGTAAATACTATGCCATCTACATCAGAAACTTGACCATCTATGGATCTTGGTATCCATGGTTACTGTATCTGTGGGGTATCCTAGAACCAATCCCCCATGGGCACTGAGGGATAACTGTACTTAAAAATCAGACACAGGACCTCATGAGTTATGCTCCCTAACATACAAAGGTTTTTAAGGTTTGTCATGAAGATATTAAAGTCTTGGTTTCAAATAATTTTTAGGGAATTATTTCTTTAAAAAGTGTGTTGAATGTTTGCCCCACCAGGGAAATCCTAACATTTAGCTTAATCTTTCTGTCCAATGTTCAGTTTTAAGCTATATGATTCTGGGATAAACAGAAATTAAAGTGTCATATTTTCTTTTTTTTTTTTTTTTTTTGAGACGGAGTTTCACTCTTGTTACCCAGGCTGGAGTGCAATGGCGCGATCTCGGCTCGCCGCAACCTCTGCCTCCTGGGTTCAGGCAATTCTCCTGTCTCAGTCTCCTGAGTAGCTGGGATTACAGGCATGCGCCACCATGCCCAGCTAATTTTTTGTATTTTTAGTAGAGACAGGGTTTCACCATGTTGACCAGGTTGGTCTCGATCTCTTGACCTCGTGATCCACCCGCCTCGGCCTCCCAAAGTGCTGGGATTACAGGCTTGAGCCACCATGCCCAGCCAAAGTGTCATATTTTCAAAAGTTCACTCTTAGACGTCTCCTTCCTATTTATTTATTTATTTATTTTTTATAGAGATGAGGTTTCTGGGCAGGCTGGTCTTGAACTCCTGACCTCAGGAGATCCACCTGCCTTGGCCTCCCAAAGTGCTGGGATTACAGGCGTGAGCCACCAAACCCGGCCCCTTCCTGTATATTTTTGAAAATAATTTTAGAAATTTTTCTGTGTTCAGACATAGACTCATGCCAGTTTATTAAAGGAAAAAAAAAGTTTTTCTGTGTAGGCTCCCTGCCCTTCCACTTCCTACACTACCTACTGTCCAATAAACCCTTTTGCTATGTTTTGACACAGGAGTCAAGGTTGCTAAGAGACCACCTGTGCTGAATGCACTTTGTTCTGGCAGGAGCAGAGAAGTGAGAAGCTGTGTTACCTACTACTACCTGGAATTAATTCAGGTGAGAAGTGGGTCTGTACTCACTCCTCATGCCTCACTGATTGCCTATCCCCCTCCTCACTTCTAATTTCAGTCTCTCTCTTACTCTTTTTGGAAAGAGTTGAAGGTACCCCTGGGAGCCATAGACTGAAGAAACACAAGGTGGAGTTTGAGGTTTCTGGAGGGAAGGAAAATCACTTTGCAAACCCATGTATTATTTTTGCTCCTTGTTGCTGAAACACAGGCAAAAGGATTTGTTGCACACAGGGAAAATTCTGGGTGTTTCTTTTGCTAATGATTGCTATATAATTTGTGACAAGTAATTCCCTTCTCTAGGAATGGAGCAATTTATTATAGAAATTAATCAAGATTGCTCAAAATGAGTACTCTGGCAGAGTACTCATCTCTTTTCCCTTCACTCTTTCTCATTCTTTCTTAAAATTTAACCTGCCTTTTTGATTTTGGGGTGAAAATAGCAGATGAAATATTTTACTACCCAAATCTTGCCACCTTTTTTGATATTACATTCATTTTGAGTTGACTATATATGGGGACCTTTGGAGTAAGACTTTGAAAATTACTTATTTGCCTTTGCATTCCCTGTAAAAGGGATTAAAAATGTTTCTAAATGCCCTGCTTAACAGACAGTTGGTAAAATGTTCTGACAATGTGGAATGCAGACCACAAATTCCAGGTATTTTTAAAATCCTGTTTAATTAATACAGAAATGTGGAGGAAATTAAATGTTTGATGTCTTAGTAAGTGACCAAAACATGAGACAGGATCTTGAGGAAAGAAAAATACCATTTAAAAAAAATTATTTGATCAGTACCTGCCTTTTTTCATGTCTTCACATTCTCACTTACTAGTAACATCAATAGTACAAGTTAGAGGAATAGCAGCTTCCTCAATGCCAATAAAAATGATTGATACTTCATAAATAAACTTAATACTGATAACATGAAAAGGGAATGGCCATTATGAAAGTTCCTTGAGCTGTTTGTTTTAGAAAGAAAGGCAAGTTTGGCATAGAGAAAAGCCTCTGATTTTGACATAAAGTGGTCAAAATAAATGGGAGAAAAATATTTGCGTTTGTTGGAGAGAAAAATATTTTATTTCATTGATTGCTTACAAATAGGTATGGAATATTCCCTGGAAGTCACTGTCTTTTATAGTGGAAATCTTAGATTGAGTTGAAAGAATCAGTATTATAAATGTGTTCATTTGAGTATACTTTTCTCTTTTTTTCTAGGGAGCAGGAGTATTCTGGATATGACTGGTAAAAACTGGATATTAATTTCTACTACTAATCCCAAAAGCCTAGAAGATGAAATTGTGGGAAGACTTCTAAAAATTTTGTTTGTTATCTTTGTTGACTTAATATCTATTATATATGTTGTGATAACTTCTTAGAAAGCTGACTTCCTTTACTTTTCATGTAAATTTCCAATTAAATTACAGTGAATAAAAATTTGTATTTTAATATGCTGAGTGACTCACATTTTATGACATTGCCGATTTATTCTAGAAGCCAACAGGATACTGCAATACAAACGTTGTGTATTGTTAAGATCTTAATGGTTTATGAAACATACACATATACTGAAGTGGATTTTTTTTCCCCAAAAACATCTATCCTACTGAGTCATAAAACTTCTTGGTTTTTGGCCAGGCATGGTGGCTCATATCTGTAATCCCAGCACTTTGAGAGGTCCAGGTAGGCGGATCCCTTGAGCCCATGAGTTTGAGACCAGCCTGAGCAACCTGAAGAAACCACATCTCTACTAAAACTAAAAATTAAACAAAATTGGCAGACGGTGCATGCCTGTAGTCCCAGACACTCACACTCGGGATGCTGAGGTGGAAGAATCATGTGAGCCCAGGAAGTCAAGGCTGCAGTGAGCTGTGATTGAGCCACTGCCCTCCAGCCCAGGCAACAGAGTGGGACCCTGTCTCAAAGCAAAACAAAACAAAAACAAACAAACAAACAAAAAACTTCTGGATTTTTAAAAAACATAGTATTTTATGTATTGACTAAAATGTATAGGTGAGAATGTGAGTGAAGTTGATTTTTTTAGGATGTGTACCTATGTGACATTTTATATAATTCTATTTTAACATACCAAGCTTAACATTCCAGTAGCATAATCTTTACATATGCTGTACCAATTTTCTTATACACATATTTTATCTGTTTGTAGGTGGATTGTTTTTCTTAACCCTGGGAAACTGAGTAAGAAATATTTCTGGAGAAATATTTCTATCCACACAGATTTAGGAATGAAAATATGTGGCTCACGCCTGTAATCATAGCACTTTGGGAGGCCGAGGTGGGTAGATCACCTGAGGTCAGCAGTTCAAGACCAGCCTGACCATCATGGTGAAACCCCATCTTAAAAAAATAAAAATAAAAAAAAGGAGTGAAAATACTTAGAAAAGATTATTTTAGGAAAACAGAACTTACAAGAAAGGAGAGAAGGCAGAGTGTACCCCATGTTGATTTCCTATTTGAGACTAAATGCTCACTCTGTGTCATTTAATGTAAGGCTTACAATAATCCCAGGTGGTACGTGCTTCTTGCCTCCATTTTACAGATGAAGAAACTGAATCTTCGAAGAATTGTGCCAGTTTGAGGCCAACACCAGGAAGTGTCTGGAACCAGATCTGGAGACTTCACAATCTGTAATATGTTGCCTCCAAAGGTAAATAATAACTATAAGACAAGTGTAGTTAAAAACCAATTTGTAGAGCTAACCTGTTTTTCTTACAGTAATTCTTTATTCAAGCCCAGATTTCTGTATTTGATACTGCCTTATTTTCTTATTTCATATATAAATTTTTTTTATCAAGAAGAAAGATCAAGTTCGCTTTTTTCTTATGTCCCACTCAAAAATGGGTTCTCTTCCCCTGTGTTCTCCATTTCCTCTTTGACAGTCAGTGTTAAAATATAACAGTTGAACTTGTACTTTTTAAGCTTTTGAAAAACATATGACTCTCTGTCCTTTAGACTTTTTGAGTTTTTACTTTGGACACACATGCTCAACAAAATTCTGTTTTCTTCTATGTGATAATTATTTTCTTTGATTTGGCCCAATCATTAATGCAAGTTTTCATAAGAGATCTAATTAAGTGTGAAAGGAATCTGGACCTTTGTGACATATCCTTTAACCAGCTCTTACTTAACCAGTCAGCAGTGTTGTATATTTAACTACAAACCAAATAGAGTCAAAGTGAGCCTTAATTGAAAACAGTAGCAGAAAATCCTATTCTTCTCCTACACTGCATTATTAGACCCTACCTTTTGGGTATAAAGACCACCTCCTGTTGATGTGCTGTGTTTCAACCCAAACTCCTATATTTGAGATTTGTTGGAACTTGTTATCAGGTTATTCCTATTTTCAGGCAGTTTCTTCTCTCTGAAAGCTTCCAGGCAGTAGACAATGTAGTTCAAATAATCCATTCTGAAGCCAGACTGCCTGGGTCACTTCCTATAGTTTGACAGCCCTATATCTCAGCTTCCTTACCTATGAGAGCCTCGCTCACTAGGGTTATAGAGAAAAAGGAAATGAGATGACTGATGCAAAGTACTTAGTGCAGTGTCTGGCATACGGGAACCCATTAATCTATGATAGATCACTGTCATTATTTTCCTCAGGTGAGAGCAAAAGTGATGTGGCTTCCTTCAAATTTACACACTCCCTTACACTTAGAATGACCTCACATTAACCTATCACATTGGCCCAAGGAGATGACTGTGTTCCAATGGAACCTAGGCATAGTTCCACTGGAGCTATAGATCTAAACTGGGTGACTTCTCAGGGCGTCTTTTGGTTATGTTATTTTGGGAGCTGGCAATTACAACTATGTATCATAATGTGACTTCAGACAAGAAAAGATACATGACAAACATCCATTTTCAACAAGTAATAAGAGTCTTAATATGCAAGTGTTGTGGCTTTATAATTGGCAATAGGTTTTTTTCACTCTTACAAAATATTCATTCCGTTTCTTTTTGCCAGATTGTGCTGGGCAGCCAGGCCAAGTTGTAAACAAACAAGTTGTGTTATGAAGGGTATAGTGAGAGGTGATTCCAGAACTACTAGCAGTGGCAACTTCTGGGAGCTTGTTAGGCATCCAGAATCCTAGTTGCCCTGAGACCTACTGAATTCAGAATGCACATTCTAACAAGATCCCCTGTGTTCCATACACATCTTATGAGAAGCCCTGGGCAGCTCACGTGACTAACTGTTCCTGCCATCTTGTTGCTCTGGCTACTGAGCTATGTGACATTTGGACAAGTTGCTTAATCTTTCTGGGTCTCATACTCCTCCTGCATTAAAATAAAGACAGATACACACAGAAAAAATGTCACAGATATGATATGCTTTGCCTATCACATAGAAATCTGTGAATGTCAAATGATTTGGGCTAAAACTGACATGAAAATGCATGCCAGAAAGGAGTTATGTAAATCCAAGTCATTGTTACAAACATCAGGAAGACAAGAGTAGCTCTTTGAGGTAAAGAATCTGTGACTGCCTTTAGTAGAATTGGAAAAGGATTGTAACAATATCCATGGCAAATATGTATACATACAGTATGGACTGGGTAACACAGAATTTCCTCTGGTGGATTTCTGTGATGTTTCATAGAACTTAATATCTACCTGTGCTGTTATAATTAACCCTCCAACTGAACTGAATAGTGTTTCTTCACTTGCCACTAATAGATAGGCCATACCTGAGCACGGCTATCTCTGCGCTATTATTTTCATAATCTCTTGGTATTAATTCAAGTGGACTTGCATCTTCTTAGTGCTGTAATCCCTTGAAGAAATTATTCTGAATTAAGAAGAGAGGTCAGAAAATGCCTTCCAGAACCCTTGTTATTTATAAATAAATGTACTGTGCTGTATTTTGCATACATTATGAAATAACCTGTGCAAGTATATGAAGTATTTCCAATTTCATAGATGAGAAAATGCAGGTTCGGAGAAATTTAGTAAGATGTCCAGGTTCATACAGGACATCCTGACTGTGATGATGCAGCTAAAAGGTGACACAACCAGACCCCCAACTCAAAACCATCTGCCTCTAGAATCCTGTTGCCAATGATTGAAACCATTCAGTGATTCTGCCTCCTGACAAGCCAGAGGAGTTGCTTACCTCACTGCTTCCTCATCTGGAAGATGACAGGTTTGAATTGTAATGAGAGCATCCCAATTCTAACTCAAGGATTCAGTGAGTGAAAATGCAACCTATTATGTCTGTTCTAAATGTATCAGGAGATTATTTGCAAGGTCTTATTTTATGGATAACTCTTTCCTGTTTTCCAAGTCTTCAGTCTGTAATAAAATGGCATATGTATTCTCCAGTGATTAAGCTCCATTTTTTGTGTGTTATTAAATATGAAGTCAGGCCTTGTACATGGGAGTCTCAGATCATTGTTCTGTGTTCGGTACCCAAATAAATTAAAGCTGCACTCATAAAATCATTTTAATGTAATTTTTTGAATAATTGAAAAGTCTCAAATACTATTTTAAACAATTTGTTTTCAAAGAACTTAACAAGTATAGGTATAATTTGGAAACAATTTCCAATTGTTTGGGCTTTATAATGATACCGCTTGTGTGACCAGCACTCTTCAGTTTATGAAGCACTAGGTGACTCATTAAGAGTTGTAGATGGGGTAACCTTTGAATGTCCACTTGATATAATGACTTACAAAAAAAGTAAGCCAGAGAGCCATTCCAGTAAGAATGAACAATTTCAGCTAGGTGCAGTGGCTCACGCTTGTAATCCCAGCACTTTGGGAGGCAGAGGCAGGTGGATCACCTGAGGTCAGGAGTTCAAGACTAGCCTGATCAACATAGTGAAACCCTGGGCCGGGCACGGTGGCTCAAGCCTGTAATCCCAGCACTTTGGGAGGCCGAGGTGGGTGGATCACGAGGTCAAGAGATTGAGACCATCCTGGTCAACATGGTAAAACCCTGTCTCTACTAAAAATACAAAAAATTAGCTGGGCATGGTGGCACGTGCCTGTAATCGCAGCTACTCAGGAGGCTGAGGCAGGAGAATTGCCTGAACCCAGGAGGCGGAGGTTGCGGTGAGCCGAGATCGCGCCATTGCACTCCAGACTGGGTAACAAGAGCGAAACTTCGTCTCAGAAAAAAAAAAAAAAAAATAGTGAAACCCCGTCTCTACTAAAAATATAAAAAATTAGCCAGGCATGGTAGCAGGCGCCTGTAATCCCAGCTACTCAGGAGGCTGAGACAGGAGAATCACTTGAACTTGGGAGGCAGAGGTTGTGATGAGCTGAGATTGTTCCGCTGCACTCCAGCCTGGGCAAGAAGAGTGAGACTCCATCTCAAAAAAAAAAAAAAAAAAAAGAATGAACAATTCCTTGATTTGCAGAGGAAGGAACATTAAAATCTAAAAAAAGAAAAAAAAGAAAGGAACAATTCCTAAGTCTATCGCATAATCG